TAGGACGGTCAGTGGCAAGCCTCGTACGAACTTGAGACGACAAAGGGCATGGCGTCATCATGGCGTCGAACTCGCCTCCGTACGGCGGCCGCCACTGCGCTGTGTGTAACTAACCTCTACACAGAGGGTCACAGTTTACTTCCACTGATTCTGAATCCCGCAAAGCGCTTGCACGTTTCCAGGCCATTCCGGAGAACCTCGAGCTTATACACCATCAACAAAGAGAAGGGGAAACACGTTGTACATGAATGCATGAAAGGCCATGGTTGGGCGAATAACCGGCATCCATCGCAATCTCGCCTATAAAAGCCAATTTGGCTGTTTTGGGTCTTGTCGACACCCGACAGGACGGACCGAATCAAAAATCATCGACACCGCGCGACAGGCCTTCGAGGCTTTCCAAACGCATAATGAACAAGTTCCGAGCCAGGGACAGCTACCTCCCACTTCCCTGATCCCGAGCAGTATGCCGACAAACCTTATCTCGGCTCTCCTCACGCGGGGTTCGCCGATCTGTTGCCCGCTCCAAACACGTCGAATGGCTCGTCGAGATGTAGTTTCTGACCAAAGCCTCTATCCCCGTCGTCCTGGCCTACATGCTCTAGAACAGTCTGTAAACAGTATCCGTCCTTATCATTGGGCGGTTGTCATCGGAAGCCCTGGCCGTCGCCGCCTTCTCATACGTGTTTGCCAAGGCAACGTATGGCTGATTGCTCTCGGCGGGATGAGCGCGCTCGACACGTCGGAGTCAAGCAGCTTCATGGCATCCGAAGACAACGGGAACCTGGCAGTCCTCCTGCAACGGGAATTTCTCGTCTTGACGGTTCTCTACGCCGTCGTGGTGGTCATCTGGTGTTCTCGGCGCACCTTTGTAGGGCTCTGGGTCAGTCCGAGTCCTACGCGGCCTTGTTTCAGTTTGCGGATAGGCTCAACGGCAGCTGCGGCGGAGCGTTGAGGGGGATGGGCCGCTAGTTTGTAGGTGCGCTTAGGAACTAGGTGTTTCACTACAGGGGCGTCTCTTCCTAACGGTTGGATGGATGGATGGAATTTATTTCGCCCGGAGGCACGAAGCCTAAAGGGCCTTGGCACGCTAACTACATCCGATTCGTTGACGTTCGGTCATCAACTCGTACAAGCCCTCTACTCTCTCCCCTTTTCTCACGCCACCTATTGCCTCTTGACTTAGTTTAGCAGATCGACTTGGAGGCTGC